ACAACAAGCCCAGTTGTGAAATTCATTGAGTATTCTTTTGTTTCTCATTGTTTTTTATTTTTGTTCTGCATGCTTCTATTCACTTTGCTGCTACAGATAAAGCTGAGTTCATTGTGATAAACAATGTTTGTAGAGTAGTAGTCAGGGTGGATTACCACTTGACCTGCAGAATCAAGAAACCACTTCAAAAGAACATCACAGATGACATGAAGTGGAACAAAAAGAAAATAGCAAGAAACAAAAGATAAGAATCAAAGTCATTGACATCATGCTGGTGTGACGTACCAAACCAATTCTAAGACTGAGTTAAGAACTAGGTGCAATATTTATGGTTATCTAGCATGTTTTAAGAGGAAGAATAAGGGGTTTATTTTTTTCCCAAGTAATTTTTTCACTCTGTCATTCATTAATTTACAAAAAAAAAAAAAATTTTTAGATAATTATTTAGTTTGGAGCTAAATATTTAGTTTGCAAATTAAGTATTTAGTTTTTTTAAAATAAACATTTAGCTCCAAATTAAATATTTATTTAACAAAGTAAGATTTTTATTATTAAATGAATGAATGATATAGTGAAATAATGATTGGAAAAAATAAACCCCTTATTTTTTCTCTTAAATAAGGGGTTTATTGCTCCTAATATTGCTCCTAATATTTTACTGCTTTACTTTACCAACGGCACCCCATAAAAATTGGCATTCCCCTGGGAGTTCCAAGGATAGAACCATTTAAAAACAAACAAGAAAAACACATTTGTCAAACCTTTAAAGGAAAAGTCCAGTCATATTCAGAATTTAAGCTTCTGGAAGTACTTTAAATATGAAATTATTACATACTGTTCAATACATGATAAGCTTTTTTTAATTAAGAGTAATTTCATTTGACTGCGCTTTACTGGATGCATCCATGGTTGTCAAAGAACACTACTGCCACCTACCGGTTTGTCATGTCACGGTGCATAATCGGGTGTTGATCAAGTCCCAATGCTGTATCTGGTGTTTGTCACAACGTGCTATTATGCAAGTCATCTTGAAAACATTCTTCTTCAAAATGTTGGCTACATATGATGTGTTTTTTCTCTGGCCAGAAGTTCGATGGCAAATCCTCCCTCTTCAAGTTGGCAATCCAACGACAAATCCGTCGGTGGAGGATCATGAATTGGAAAGGTGAAATAATAAACATTTTTTTCACTTTTACCCGATGTATTGCAACATCCAGCTGCCATGCATATAGGCATTGTCAGTTTAACTATAGCTGTTGCGAATTTCAATGATGAAGTCCTCTCAAAATCTTAAATAATTCTTGTTGATTGCAGATGTGTCTAATAGTTCCCATTGATGTTGCTTGTAAAGTGGGGAGATTAGCACTAGGCCTACAGCACAATGACGTCACTGCCGGAAGAAGTGAGGTGTTATTATATTTGGGGAAAAATGGCTGGTCCTAGACTCGGTGATCGCGAAAAAAAAACATTTTAATTTTTTTACTGATTAATGCTAAATTCATTAAATCAAAGCAAATAAATTGGTTTTAGGTATAGATAATGATCCCTTTATTATTCCTTGCTGACCAGACTTTTCCTTTAACATGTTTGAAGCTATCAGAAAGATGTAGATCATATTATATAGCTGACAGTTACGTAAAAAGATGCAAAAATGCATGCATAAAACTAACAACTTCTTAAATTAGAGAGAGTCATGCTTACAGTAAAACATAGTGGTGGTAGTGTAGTGGTATGGGGCCGATTTGCTGCTTGGAGAAGGCAGAGGCATTAAGTTTTAGGGTGCAACAAGGATTATCTCAAATTGTAAAATGCGACAAAAACAAGAAAAAAACTAAGTAAAGCCCTGTAATGTTATTTTAAAGGATACAATATTTTTTATCTTTATTCATTCTTGATGTTCTGAAGATCTGTTAGCTTTTTATGGCTGTTTCTTTTAGATTTTCTTTAAAATAAATGGTCTATTTATTTTGTACTACATTTTTCTTTATTTACTGATGAAAATATGTAAAAGTATTTTTGTGAAAACTTATGGTAACACATTAAGGCCTGGAATTAATGTATGTAAAAAAAAAAAAAAAAAAAAAAAAGATACCTGTGATGGATTCCGGGCTTTGCTGCAAAAGTGCTTTTCTAGGATTGGGTTTTGCTCAGCTTTGAGTCGCACCTTGTCTCTGATCTCAAGAACATTAGCGAGTGGCGTGGCCAAGTACCTGAAACAGCACACAGAGCTCTGTAAATCTCCTTTATAACACAACACCGGCAGGTCTTTGGAATTTCTTAACATTGCTTTAAACTTGTGCAACATAATCCGGGTATAATCGGATAAATGCACAGCTGAAGTCTAAGTTACATTTACTCTTTTGCTGTACAGTAAATCCTTGCCTTTCAAATAGATATCTGACCACAAGAAGGCAGAGAGCACAGGGCACCGCGGCATAAAGCTGAGAGGCTTTGGCATAAATTCGATCATCTTTGTCCACAAGATCTGCCCAGGAGACTCCAACTGGGAGCCATAGACGTTCCCACCACAGCCACTCTTGGATTGTCTGCAACATGATGCTAAAATGTGGGGGGAAAATGTTACACAATTTAATACAATTAACAAGTTTGTTTTACAGTCAAGTGTATGGACTCACAATCATTTCAAATATGTTAAGATTTCCTTTGTACAGATTTGATATTTTGTAAAAGAACCCTGTGTTTTGATCTGATCTTTTTTTTTTTTTATTTAAAGTATAATTTATACAGAAGATAAAATAAAGTACAGTGGAATCTGCTTATAGTGGTCACGGATATATTAATCGACCGCTTATATAGATCAAAAGGATTGGGACAGAATAATTTCTATACAAATGATGTTTAAATAATTTGTTTATAGTAATCAAAAAGTGAGAAGGGGGAGGAGGATGAGGATGAAGAAGAGGAGACTGTTGTCCGTTCCAGAGCTGGGACGAGGAATGCAGTTTGCATATTAAAGACTGGTCTCCTGCATGTTTGTTTCAAAAACTTTGACCTTTTACATTGTTTTGAAGAAGAGGTGAACTCGGTGTTGAACAACACTCTGATCCAGGGAACTACAGATAAATATGTTAAGTGATTTCATAATGCTGGGCAGCAGATCCGCAACACAAAACAGAGGTAGGCTTGCTTTAATTTTCTGTAGCCAATGCAGTTATCTTCTATATTGTTCTATGAAACTTTTTGTTTCAAACTTACATGTTAAAAAATGCACTGGAGGCACAACAGGGCCGACGCACAGAATAAATTACATAGGCCTACTGTAGGCTACCAGAGTTATGTCTGCGCACAGCGCAGTATACTGTCATTAAACTTGCATGGTACTGTAATAAAAAGCGGAAGCTATCGGTTTCGTTAAATTTTTCTAATTGAAAAACAATACAAATGGCATTTAGATTATATTCTGCATAAAAAATAAGTGAAATAACCGTAAATTTAGTTTTAGTAATCAACCTCTTATAGTGTTCAAAATGGCTCTGGACCAATGTGACCACTATAAGCGGATTCCACTGTACTTACAGTAAAAACCAATAAAAGAAAAGGGGTGAAGAGAAATTACATTAAAATAAGAAAAAATTTAATAATATTTGGTGATATTAAGCATCACATAAAGGTGAAGAAAGTAATAAAAGGTGAAATGCAAATTTACAACAAATAGCTACCGGGTATGCTATTACAGAAATGAGCTGGTAAGGTAACACTGTCATGAAATCTATGGCAAACAGTAATGTTTTAATTTATTTAATGAAGTGAGCCTTCAGGAATCTCATGGGACCTTTGCCCATTAAGATTTATAAACACCATAACAGATAAAATTGTGGGAGTTTGACAGAGAAGATTTTTGGACCAATCAAGCATAGCAACAGACAGTCCTACTTATAAAGTCTACCAAACAGCATGGTAGGATCAGCTGTGTCAAACTCATTGCTGAGACCTAGTAGTACCAATGCCAAAGTTCTACATGCTTCACTGTTATCAATGGTTATTAAAAACTAGATATGATGTGATTACTTGATATCAAAGCATATATTTAGGTCTAGAATATGTAACCAATTCTATGTCGTAAGGACCTGAAGTAAAGGCAGCCAGCTCTCAGGAGATGGAGAACTCCTGCAGATATCAAAGGGCAACAAGATAAAGAAAGGTGAGGAACAATTCATGGAAGCAGAGATTAAAGAGAAGTAAAGTCCTTCCTCATATGGACTCTGCCCGTAACAGCACAGATGAAAAATAATACTTAGGCGCAAATAAACTGGACTTTTTATCAGCATTTAGGCTACATTCGAGAAGATGACCAAGATTCTTTTTAATTAAGTGTATTTACGAAGGCAGTATACATCATATGAGTGTGTCCCTTAATCTCAAAAGCGGTTAATAAGTCAGCATGGGAAAAGGCAGACATACCTGCAGGCAGTGTTGTCTTGACAAGTTTCAACAGCAGGGATAGAAGCTGAAGCAGATACAGTGTGTTAGCAGGTCTGATGAAAGTAAAGTAAAAGAGTACGCAACCGAAATGAACCTCTGCTTCATTGTCTCTTTCAACAAAACAAATCTCTCATTCATTTTCCTTCAGTTTTCGACATGATCAACAAAAGGCTGCTTCGAGAACACATTTGTGGAAATAAAGGTATAGTAAATAAGTTCAAAATTCACACACTTACCTTTACGGTGTGCCCAATGCAGGTAATGCTGGGTGTTGTCTGGAGATCTACCTAACTGAGGTCAGCCTATTACTCATACCACCCATATAGTACACCTAATCATCTCAGATAACAGTTCTGCTATATCATAGACATTCTTGGATACATCCTGGACTTTCAGAAGTCCAGGAAGTTTTTACCCCTCACGGAGGGGTAAAAAGTGAGATTGATATTTGATTGAAAGTTGGTGATCTTTCTAACCTGCACATATACCCAAATGTGTTTCAAGAATCTCAAATAAGCATGTTGAATAGATTAAAAGCTCTGTGTGTGGTCGCTCACCTGGTGTAAAAGTCCTGAATCCTTCCCTCCCACTTTGCAAGCTCTCTTGAGCACTCCCTTGCAGTTGCTACAAGTCTTTAGAGATATGGAACAGCAAACAGCTTAGCACTTTTAAAGCATTTTGCCGGTAGTTTCTTTGTTTAACTTGTAAATTATAAGCTGCAACAGTCATCCAAAGGGTAGGATTGGGATGGCTTGCGTACCTTCACCTGCAACAATTCCCTTGGAATGCATGAGCAGCCCCCACAAAGGCCCCATTCACTGGTAAGGCAGCAGAGGAGGAGGAGCCAAGTGGGAAAGAGGAACTCTCTCCCACAAGAACAAAGAGTGAAACATCATGTTGTGGAGATAGCTACCTGAGTTAATAATGAACATATAAATAGAGATTGAGCTATCCAGGGAGTGGCGAAAATTCTCCAATTCACTTTGTTTTCCTTAAGGCAGAGGTTATTTTTAGGAACTAGTTGGAAATGTCCTGCTCTTTTATGTTAAGGCACATGAGTCAAGTCTGAAACATGCCAGGTTTTAAACATAAAAGAAAAGCTTTTTTATCATATATCCATCCATTCGTCCATGTTCTCCCACTTAGTCCTGTCACGGTCACAGTGGGGACAGTCTCTCATATGTGATATATATATTTATATAAATATATGTTTGTACATTCTCGTCTTACAGCATGCACCAGAGGGCAACAGAGACAACCACTCTTCTGGTGATATATACATTTACAATGGCTGAATGATAAGCAAGGTTGTGTTTCTGTTTTTTTTCATTTTAACTAACACACTTGTATCTCACACTGCAGAGCACTTCTGGTGTTTCATATAATTAGTTAGAGTTGCAGTGAATAGAGGTCAAATATTACTAGGGTATATATATCTCAAAACTGAATTTTAAACATTTCCAAAGTTGAAATGTGATATTGTCGCTCTCTTATTGTGTACATTCTCATGAAAAAGACTGGCTGGACCATCTTTGACTAGAATAAGGGTAGATTATATCACTGGGGAATCAAACTGACCTGACCCGAACCCTTCAGAGACACTATAGAGTGTTGTCAAGAGAATACAAGACAAGACCCACCAGTGTCAACATGCTAAAGAGAGCTATTAAAGCAATCTCGGCTTCCTCAGACCTTCATCCTACGCTGCATTGATGCAATTATTCTTGCAAAAGAAGCCTCAACCAATTATTCAGTTCCCAGAGTGAGCAAATCAAAAACAAATCCGTAATACCTTTTTTTTTTTTGTAAAGAAGCTGAGGAGATAATAATCAAATAAACACATCTGACAAATATCACTGTACATGAAGTCCAAGTAAAGTACTGTATAAGTTTTAGTTCTTAAATTGAAACACTGAATAAAACGGCAAATCTTAATCCAGTTTATTGAGATGTACAGGAAGTAATGAACTTCTAAATGCATGTTGCTTTAAGCTCTTTTAGAATGTGTATCTTGACAGGATAGAACAATCCCTATTAAGGCAAAATAAAAAATGCAATGCCAAAGAGAGAAGACACATCAAAAATAAGTGGTTGTTTATTTAAATTTCACATCTTTTATATATCAAAATCACTGAAAATAAACAGAAAAACTACAAGCAGAGCTACTAGAATAGCAGTCATCTTCCCCTGGTATACACTGCAGCATGCTGCATGTGTGAAAAACAGTAACAATGATTTAAAAAAGCATATAACATAAAGCCTCTTGAGATATCCAAGTGATTAAAATAACCAACCATCAAAATAGTAAGAAAACTGAATGAGAGTCTTTATTGGTCATGGCAAAAAAGAAAAAAAAATTTTCTGAGGAACTTTTCCCTTAACTGTTCTGCACTAAAGCTATAATAAATATATAAAAAAGATATAAATAGTGTTACATGCATGAATACAGGTGCTGGTCATAAAATTAGAATATCATGAAAAAGTAGATTGATTTCAGTAATTCCATTTAAAAAGTGAAACTTGTATATTATATTCATACATTACATACAAACTCATATATTTCAGATGTTTATTTTGTTTAATTTTGATGATTACAAATGACAACAAATGAAAATCTCAAATTCATCATATCAGAAAATTAGAATATTGTGAAAAGGTTCAAAATTGATGGCCCCTGGTGCCACACTCTAATCAGCTAATTAACTCAAACCACCTGCAAAAGCCTTTAAATGGTCTTTCAGTCTAGTTCTATAGGCTACACAATCATGGGGAAGACTGCTGACTTGACAGTTGTCCAAAAGACGACCATCGACACCTTGCACAAGGAGGGCAAGACACAAAAGGTCATCGCTAAAGAGGCTGGCTGTTCACAGAGCTCAGTGTCCAAGCACATTAATAGAGAGGCGAAGGGAAGGAAAAGATGTGGTCGAAAAAAGTGTACAAGCAAGAGAGATAACCGCACCCTGGAGAGGATTGTGAAACAAAACCCATTCAAAAATGTGGGGGAGATTCACAAAGAGTGGACTGCAGCTGGAGTGAGTGCTTCAAGAACCACCACACACAGACGTATGAAAGACATGGGTTTCTGCTGTCGCATTCCTTGTGTCAAGCCACTCTTGAACCACAGACAGCGTCAGAAGCGTCTTGCCTGGGCTAAAGAGAAACAGGACTGGACTGCTGGTGAGTGGTCCAAAGTCATGTTCTCTGATGAAAGTAAATTTTGCATTTCCTTTGGAAATCAAGGTCCCAGAGTCTGGAGGAAAAGAAGAGAGGCACTTCATCCACGTTGCTTGAAGTCCAGTGTAAAGTTTCCACAGTCAGTGATGGTTTGGGGTGCCATGTCATCTGCTGGTGTTGGTCCATTGTGTTTTCTGAGGTCCAGGGTCAACGCAGCCACATACCAGGAAGTTTTAGAGCACTTCATGCTTCCTGCAGCTGACCAACTTTTTGGAGATGCAGATTTCATTTTCCAACAGGACTTGGCACCTGCACACAGTGCCAAAGCTACCAGTACCTGGTTGAAGGACCATGGTATCCCTGTTCTTAATTGGCCAGCAAACTCTCCTGACCTTAACCCCATAGAAAATCTATGGGGTATTGTGAAGAAGAAGATGCAATACACCAGACCCAACAATTCAGAAGAGCTAAAAGCCACTATTAGAGCAACCTGGGCTATCATAACACCTGAGCAGTGCCACAGACTGATCGACTCCATGCCACGCCGCATTGCTGCAGAAATACAGGCCAAAGGAGGCCCAACTAAATACTGAGTGCTGTACATGCTCATACTTTTCATGTTCATACTTTTCAGTTGGCCAACATTTCTATAAATCCTTTGTTTTTATTGGTCTTCAGTAATATTCTAATTTTCTGATATGATGAATTTGAGATTTTCATTTGTTGTCATTTGTAATCATCAAAATTAAACAAAATAAACATCTGAAATATATGAGTTTGTATGTAATGTATGAATATAATATACAAGTTTCACTTTTTAAATGGAATTACTGAAATCAATCTACTTTTTCATGATATTCTAATTTTATGACCAGCACCTGTATTACACAGGTAAAAAGGATATCCATTGGATGGGCTCTTTTGAGCCCTGGGGTAAGCAAGTGAGAAGGACAGCAGGAGGTTTGAAGCCTCAGGCACAAACAGGAGAGGCTAATCTTGTTAGTCCTCCCTATCCTTCTGCAGACTATAGCCTCCATTTGATGCTCTGCTCTCTCCTTATAATGGAGTGTTATTATGCTTTAGCTTACTGGGTGAAGGAGGAATGCAATCACCAAGCTTCGCACAGCTGGAAGAATGACTTGGTCTTGAGGCTGCCTCTTCGGGACAGGCCACTCTCTGACGAGGAGGCAGGGTGGAGCAGCGGCTCTTACCCCTGGAACGTGGCAGCTGAGTTGGAGGGCCTTTTAGTACAAAAAGTTCACTTGAGGCTTGGGGCTGTTGAGTAAATGCTGACTGTGGAGATGAAAGGGACACTGAACTGTGTGAGGGAGAGGATTGTTTGGGGGATATGCAGCCCAAAGGAACCAGGGGAGTAAGCGAGGGCTGCTGCTGGAGCTTTGTCAGGCTGGTGGATTGGCTAGGCCGGGGCAGGCTGTAGCAAGCCTCAGCTGCTCTGTAACGGGAAGGAAGGGTGGAGCAACGAGATTTTACTCTCGGGTCTGGCTCTTTGGGAGGAGGAGCTATTAGAGTCAACATCCTAGTTTCAACGTTTGATGTTGTAATGTCTCGCCTGGAGCCTTTCAGACTCTGGGACGAGCCTCTTTGGGATAAGGGTCGGGATGCAGGCTCCTGTGGACCTTGTTTGGATTCTGAGCGGGGAAGCTCCTTTTCCACAGCTGTGCTTGATACAGGCTCTTCATCTATATGAATAGAACAAAATAAATGGATTTGACATAGTATAAACTGTCAAGTAAATGATCAAAGAAAAGGGAGAGTTGACTCATCTTACCTAAAAGACCGAGGTCACTCATGAAAGAGTCCAGATCTACGGTTAAGTTCTCCTCCTCGCTTGCCTTTGCTTCATAAACTTCCCCTTCATTGCTCTCTGTTGTTTGATCTTTTTCTCCTGTACCCTCTGTCCTTGCTTCTCCATTTTCTTTCTCATCTTTGCTTTCCATCTTAAAGTCCTCCTCACACTCTTCCCCTCCTGGCTCATATTCTTTATTTTCAGCTTCTTCCAATAAATTATAAACCTCCATGTCAGTATCAAACCTTCCTGGTTCATCCAGACTGATTTCAACACAGACTTCCTCCTTTTTCTCACCCACTTGGCACACAACCTCCTCTTCTGGTGCCTCCTCCACTACAATGTCTATGTTGGCAGGAAAGGAGGGGATTGAGCGTTTTGGGGACAGTGTTTTGGCACATGCTTCTTGGTCTTGTTCTAACAAGAACTCCATCAACGCCATGTTTTCTTTTTTCAGCTGTTCCCGCAATGATCGTGGTACATCTGGGATCATCCAAGCTACCAGCATGCTGAGGAACATGGCGAGATTCTATCCGGGAAAAAAAAAAGAGATGAAGAAAAGCTGTTTTTCCCTTTTTTTATGTTAACATTATACAAAGTATTAAATAATCTTAAAATCGAATGAAAATGAGACATGGTTTTTTAACTAAAAAAAGGATCTGGAAAATGTGTTGGTTTGGGGGTATGGGATTGTTCAGCTTTTTATCCTTGGAACTGCCAAATATTTACAAGTACTCAAGTAAAACCAAACCCCTTCGGAAGAAGTCACCTCATCTGGAAAAAAGGGGGCACCTATAAGTAATTTAATTTCCATAGAAGTCAGCTTTTCTGTGGAGGCCTCAGAGGGTTGTTAGAGAACATCAGTAAACAAAAAGCCACACTAAGTCCAAGGAACACAGCAGACACGTTTAGGATAAGGTTAAACATGGTTATATAACAAAATAACATTCTGAACTTTAATGATGATTGACTGAACAGCGTCAAAGCAAAAAACTTAGACATATGCAACTAAATTAAAATCTTGATAACAAAGAACAACAATCAGAGGAGCTGCCAGAAAGCACATGATACCCCCAGCAGCTCCGAAGATCCACAAATCTGGTGGGAAAATATTTGACAGGATGCTGTGGACTCAATAAAAATGTTCTCTGAATTGAGAGTAAAGGCCATTGTTCAAGGAAAGCCATAAGAATTTGTAAAACAATTGCTGTATTTAGATGAGAACAAAGTATAACTAATTGACATGCACTCAATATGTTATTTGTCCTCGAAAAGCAACATTGCACGTCACTTGAACATACAATCCCCCCAACAATACATGGCGACTTTTCAAATCCATTTAAACAGAAATAAACTTGGTGTTGTACTGCATTTATTCACCATATTTATTTATATATCTTGCAATGCTCTGAACCTTCCTTATGAATGACTTTTGCACCTTGTCTTTAAATGGGTTTTCCTCCTCTCCTACACTGTTCACTGCTAAGCTGCTCTTTACCTGTTAAAAAGTTTTATGCATCTAAATTTTGTTTTGTATACAGTCTGTGTATACAGGCTAGTATACATATAGTAATATACATATATTGTAATGTGTATATACATATGAAGCTCTAGCGAAAGTTCAATTGAAGAAACTCTGACTTACCTCCATCAATCAGAAGCCGATCCGTCTCTGAAGCGAGCCAATCAGCTTCGAACTACTCCACCACGAAGCCCAATCAGCGTCCTGCTTCCACTTTATAAACTCCCTCAAATCTCACCACAGCCGCTATCCTGCAATCGCTGTCGGATTTCGATTCAGACGACAATTCAATTTTCCCCGCTCGGAGAAGCTCCCGTCTAGCCGCTCTCATCTCCTTCTTCCGCGTTACACTCCAAGGGTATATTGCCAGGCTCCAACCTAAACTCTGCTCAGATGTCTTAACGAGCCTCCCTCCTACCTCCTCGTGATTCATCTCCCTCGCCTTCCGCTTCAATCCGCTCCGATTCCTGGCCGCAAAAGACATGCAAGTCCTCCGCTCCCCTCGCCAGGCGCAGAAGGCCTCCCGGATCTGTCCCAGCAGCAGTCACCGCTACGCCCGCTCCTTCTCATCGTTTCGATGCAGCCTTGGACCTTCTTCAGCTTCCTGATTCATAGCAGCTCCCCCGTCTAGTCCTTCTGGCGTTTAACAGCTCTCAGCCTCCCTTCGCTCCACCGGACTCTCTCACTCAATCCTTCGACGCTGTCCGCACGCTCCAAACGTGGGAATCCCTGCACTGCCACGTCATCCCTGCCGCTGTCTGCTCAGACGGACCTCCCCCTCCCCTCATTCACATTAGGGAACGCCCGCCGGGCCAGCCTTAGGGTAAGACGTATTCAACCATGTTTTCATTCATAATTTTCTATCTATTTGAGTTTGCTGTTATGCTTCGTCTGCCTCAATCAGGCATACTTATGTTAACACACATGCTGATATTTTCACTAGCCTCGTTCTAAATTATTCAGGGGAATATTTTAATTTAGTCTCTTATTCTTCCCTCCCCTGAAGTCGATCAGCAGGTCGCATCAGCAGGTGACGTCACAGTTTTCCTTAAATCATCCGATCTCCGTCTACCAGAGATCTTCTATTGGCCAAATTTTTTATTTTATTTTTTTGGCCGCATTCAGCATCTATCGTGATTACTCAGAGCTTCTGCAGTAGGGCCATCCGATCAGTCTGTCCCTGCCTGTCCCTGCCGTGCACGCTTTATATATCGTACCTCAGTCTTAGCAGCCCGTCATCTTACCACCCCTTATTATTACTTCTGATTATCGTTCTGTCTTCTTCTTCTTCTTTAAAAAAAAAAAATACACAAAACTGATGTTCTACATCAGTCATTTCTAAATGCCAATTGCGCTCCTTGCTAGGTCAGCTAATTTGCCATGCGCTTATTTCTCAAGGTCGCGCTTTCATTCCCAGTTGCTTGATCCGGCAATTTCCGTCCCTCTCCTTGGTCAGATTACTGAACGTAGGCTGCCGTTCGGATCCTATGGTCTGACTGCTTCTAAATTGGAACAAATTTCTTTTCTATGTCGACATTATCTATCTCCTGCCATGCTTCAAAAATTTTACGGATGCTGCATCCGTAGGTTTTGGGGGGTTCTTCAGGACAGGTGGTTCACGGGTTCATGGCCTCTTTTATTCACACCCATTATGCTTGTGTGAGGTCTAACCCTAGCTAGCTTGCATCGTGGGGCTTGGGAAGGAATCGCGTCCGCCCACTGCGATAACTTCGTAGTAGTTGAAGCCACTAATAAGTCACTCCTCCTCCCAGTCTCTCATGCCTTCATCAGAAGCATCACTGGCAGCAGTCACTAACGTTTCATCATCTCGGCGCGTCATGTTCAGGCATTCAAGCACTTTTATCCGCCCAAGCGTTACCCTACGTCCACTCATGGTTCCTTCATCACCTCAGGATACTCTTAGAATCATGTGGCCTTCCCTCTAGTAGGTAATCTGGGCATTCGTTCTGGACCGAGCAGCTGCATTGCAGCTACTCGCGGGGTTCTGAGGCTTCCCTCAGCTCTGGGCCGATGGTTTACCAGCCTATACCTCATTCATCCGCCCAGAACTCTCACCATTCTCTCAGCTCTGTGCTCTCTCTGCCTCTAGGTAACTCTATTACAAATACTGGTGGTGGTTCAACTCATTTTCATAATTTTCTGACCTAATCACGACCATCCTCTAACTCATTTTCTACTCCCACTCCTTATCAGTTTTCTTCATTATTCCCTGCTTCATGCAGTCTTCCATGCTGTCTCCTTGCTATTCATGCTATCTTCATTCTGGCTCGCATTCATGCAATCTCACCTTTATGACGGGCATTTATATGCATTCTCCTGTGTGTCACGTCACGTCTGGTCTGTGTCTCGTCATGCATCCTTGACACCATTTAGCATGCATTCCCTAATGCATCAATTCTTCATATATGTTACCATCGCAAGATTCATTATCAGACTCATCTGCAAGGTTCATTATCAGACTCATCTGCAAGATTCATTATCAGACTCATCTGCAAGATTCATTATCAGACTCATCCGCAAGATTCATTATCAGACTCATCCGCAAGATTCATTATCAGACTCATCCGCAAGATTCATTATCAGACTCATCCGCAAGATTCATTCCCTATGCATCACATGCTCCCTATCTGTGTCTCGTCGTGTCTCGTCATGCATCCCTTACGCCATTTTGCTTGCATTTCCAATGCATCAATATGCACCATGTCTGCGTCTTGTCATGTCTGTATCCCGTCATGTTATATGTTCTATATGGACTCATCCGCAAGATTCATTATCAGACTCATCCGCAAGATTCATTCCCTATGCATCACATGCTCCCTATCTGTGTCTCGTCGTGTCTTGTCATGCATCCCTTACGCCATTTTGCTTGCATTTCCAATGCATCAATATGCACCATGTCTGCGTCTCGTCATGTCTGTATCCTGTCATGTTATATGTTCTATATGGACTCATCCGCAAGATTCATTATCAGACTCATCCGCAAGATTAATCATCATCATAATGGGATGCGTCGTCGTCGTCGTCATCATCATCATCATCATCCGCAGGATTCATCATCATCATCCGCAGGATTCATCATCATCGTCATCATCATCATGGGATCATCATCGTCATGGGTTCATCATCGTCATCATCATCATGGGATCATCATCGTCATCATCATCATCATCATCATCATGGGATCATCATCATCATCATGGGATCATCATCATCATCATGGGATCATCATCATCATCATGGGATCATCATCACCATCATCATGGGATCATCATCACCATCATCATGGGATCATCATCACCATCATCATCATCATGGGATCATCATCATCATCATGGGATCATCATCATCATCATCATGGGATCATCATCACCATCATCATGGGTGAATCATCATCGGTAAGTTCTCGGCGTCAACCGTGGTCGCCATCCTCATCAACAACCTGCCTCGGTAAGTTGTTCGCAAACCTTCTCAGCATTTCATTACGCATTCTTTATTCTGTCCCTAGTGTATGCCCTACGAGCATACGGACTCTCCGGCCTCGACCTCGGCTTTTTGGGGGAACATCCCTATTCACATTCATCTACTCATGCATGTTAAAGCATAATTCAGCATGAATGTTCCTGCCGAGGTCTGAGCGCCAAAGACTATACTTTCTTATCAATAAATTCTTCTAATTATCTTTTCTCTCTGTGTGAGTTTTTCAGATTGAAATGAAGCTCTAGCGAAAGTTCAATTGAAGAAACTCTGACTTACCTCCATCAATCAGAAGCCGATCCGTCTCTGAAGGGAGCCAATCAGCTTCGAACTACTCCACCACGAAGCCCAATCAGCGTCCTGCTTCCACTTTATAAACTCCCTCAAATCTCACCACAGCCGCTATCCTGCAATCGCTGTCGGATTTCGATTCAGACGACAATTCACCCACCTCCATCCCCTTCTCCGCCATCGCAGTTGAATCGTCCATGACACGACTTCACCTCAACCTCATCAGAGAGTATTAATCCCAGTTGTCACCATCCCTCGCCTCATCGCATTGGTCCGGCAGAAGACCACCATGTTGAGCCCGGTTCTGCCAGAGGTTTCTTCCCAAAGGGGAGTTTTTCCTCTCCACTGTCGCTTCATGCTTGCTCATCATGGACACTTCACGGTACCTGCATCACCGAGCAGGACCTCTATATCCCGAGTCTGAGTGAAGCCCCGGCGTCAACTCCCTCAGTCTTCTAGTCCCACAATTCTGCCCAGCAGATCACCTTGTCAACCAGCTCGGATTAAACCACCACCAGTTTCAGGCCCGGGGGGAACATCCCTATTCACATTCATCTACTCATGCATGTTAAAGCATAATTCAGCATGAATGTTCCTGCCGAGGTCTGAGCGCCAAAGACTATACTTTCTTATCAATAAATTCTTCTAATTATCTTTTCTCTCTGTGTGAGTTTTTCAGATTGAAATGTATATATATATATATATATATATATATATATATATATATATATATATATATATATATATAGATAGATAGATAGATAGATAGATAGATAGATAGATAGATAGATAGATAGATAGATAGATAGATAGATAGATAGATAGATAGATAGATAGATAGATAGATAGATAGATAGATAGATAGATAGTAAAGGTATAGTAAGTAGCATAGTAATAGTCTGGGTCTAAGTCATAAAATATGGTGGTAGCATATGGATTTATTTTTATATTTTTATTAAATTCAAGAAAAAAATAATAAAATAAAAAGTATTTTATATTTAAAATAATTTTAAATATGAAATACATTTGGTGGAGTTACATTTTAAAAACGTTTTTTGGCTGGGTATTCGGGTGGGTTTTCCCTCCTGGAGGCATGGCGGGGCTGCTCTGTTCCCACTGATCGCGGCGGGTGGGGCTGCGGGGCGGGTGTGGGCCTGGGGTGGCTATGACCGGCGCGTGGTGGGGGGCCGGGGCGGCGGAGCTGCTCTGGCCGCGTGTCGGGGCCTGGTGCGGGCTGCGGGGGGGGGGTGGCGGACGTGGCTGGGCTGCTTTGGCATCGTCCGGTGGGGGGGGCGGCGCGGTTCGCTCCGCTCTGGCTTTGTGCTGCCCCTCGGGCTGCTGGGGGGGTGGTTGCGCCGGCTGCGGTCTGCTCCTCTTGCGGTTTTGCGCCGGGCGGCTTTTCTGCTCTCGGGCTGATTCTGTGCGCGGTGTGTTTCGTTGCGCGCTGTTGGCATCGGTCTTGGTGGGGTGGGGCTGCGCTTTTGGCCGGGGGGGCGTTTTGGGGGGGGTCCCGCGGCGCTCGTGGCCGGTTCGCGGCGGATGCGCATGGGCCCCGGCCGGGGGCGGGGCCGTCTTAGTGTTTTCCTGGGTGGTGCGGTCGCGGTGGGTGTTGCGGCCGGTCGCCGGGGCTTGGTGCTGGGGGGCGGGGCGTGTTTCGGTGCTCTGTGGGGCTGGGGCGTTTCGGTCGGCGCCGTGGGGGGGCTGGTGTTCGGCGCCCGGCCCTACTTCGGGGTGGCCGGCTGCCGGCGGGGCCCGCGGACTCGTCCCCGCGGCTCCCCGGGGCGCCGGCATGGCGGTGGCTGGGGGGCTTCCTCGTGGCTGTCTCTCCTCCTGCCTTGGTGGGGTCTGATTTCCGGGGCTGGCCCCGCCTTGGTGCCTTCGCTTCTGGGGTCCCCTTGGGCGCCTGGGGCTTTGGGTCTCCCGGCGCTGGACTCAGTGCTCTGGGGGGTGTGCCTCTCCGGCTCTCCACAACCACTATTGAGCATTTTTTTCTATGGTTAAAACTTTACATGCACAAGTTCACCCTCACAAACAACTACAGGTGCTAGGCTTCAGGTACTTAGAGATTCACTTCCAAACAGAAACCCCACATTCATATCTTCAGGTAACACAGAGTACATGTCAGACTTAATAATATTACTTTAGTGATAGTTTCAAGGTGTTTGCTTTATTGTATATCTCGTACCATGTTTTTTGGTTGTGCTGTTCTTTTTTCTTTTTTTTTTTTTTTTTCTCCATCTCATTACAGGTGTTGAAGCAGACTGAAAATGTTTTGTCATTGTCTCCTTCCTATCTCCTCTTTCTTTCATCTTTTGTCCTGTTTTTTTCTTTTTCTTTTTCCTTCTTCTTCTTCTGTTTTTCTGCTCTACTTACATTGCAGTGTCCATATGAACTGTAAAACTCCCTGCATAATTATAATAAAGCAATTTATATACATGAAACAAGTGGAGCGGTATGGCAATTGCGATACCGCTACACTTGTGAAAGTAAAATCTGTTGGGCTCCTTTTGGCATCAAGACAATTATTCTTATTGCCACCTTGCCAGACAGGACACTGTAAAAAAAAAAAAAAAAAAAAAAAAAAAAAAAAAAAAAAAAAAACGTTTTTTCTTCTCTCTCTTAAAACCTAAGTGTTTGTTTATTTTCTTTCCATGTGAAATAAGTGTCATAGTTCCTGTTGGCCAGTCTCAACAGTCTTGACAGCTAAGTGGTGATATTATGTGCATTTGGGACGTGCATCCAGGCCTTGACTGGAATGCAGACGAGAGCTTACAGGTGTTTTCAATGGGTGGGGTTAAAAGTCAGAAGAAACCCCAATGAGCGACTGCAAAATAATTAAAATTGGAACAGATCCACCTCCATACAGAATAACAGTGGAGGGGTTTACGTGGAAGCATATTCGTGGTTTTGAATGGCCTAGTTTAAGTCCATCCAGTATTGTACTGTAGCAACAACAAGAAATAAAATGGTATTGTTCTAGTGCTGTAATACAACACAATACATTGCGTAAAACCTCTTCACAACTTTAGTAATCTTCTGTTAATTGCCTCAGACAGTTTAGCAGAGTGGAACTCTGTGCCAAGACAATCTTGCACGAACAGTATCAGATACCGAGGGTATAATGGACAGACATGAGCCAAGTTTCACTAAATGCAAATGCTGGGAATTTGCCAGAAGGCAGTTCAATTAAGCTCTGATTCCAACAGGTGTACTCCTCAGACCCGATCTGCTCAATACATTTGGCCACAAGTTTCTGGAAAAAGGCATGGATTTTGCATAATTGTTTTGATGTGACCTCTCAAATCAAGCACATTTACAGAACAGCCGCAGGTATACATTAAGAAAAGCAAAACACTACCGTTACGAAATAGATATATAGGAAAGCCCTGGATTAACCAAGTTGGGTCCTGGATCTGTACCTAGTAGAGCATTTCCATTGAGAACTCAAAATGAGTTACATTCTCAGTCCAATCAGGTTAAGCTTGTATGTCCCTGGCAAGAAGACGCAGAATCTCCCAAAGGAAGTCTGCCAATGTTGTCGGATCATTCCCCAGACCTCAGTTTAGCTTTGCTGCCAAAGATGCTTAAAAACTTTTCTCTTAATTGTCAAACTGATACTAAATCTAAGATGAATGGAAATATTTGCTTAGTTTTTACAAGACTTGTTCCAGGAAACCATTTTTAAGTAGCCTAGTTGGCACCAAGGGAAACCCCTTGTCAAATAAATGACAATGCATGTATACAATGTATACAAAAGAGAGAAAAGTCAGATCCAGGCATATTACAACAAAATACTTGATTTTGCAAACATGATTTACCTGGAAGAATATTACAAAGGCCAGCCGGGCAGCAAGGACAGACCAGTATTGTTTGGAGAACGTATAGGCATCTGGTGCCCATGGGGGATCTCTGTAGTCCTTGTACCTAAAAGAGAGAGAGAGATGAAACACAATCTTATCTCATTAAAGCAGAATGGAAATGAACTCTACTAATGCTGAGTTGCTCTCAACAGGAACCTGAAATCCTTGCCAAATTGTACACCAAAGGAAGCTTTAAGCTGCTAGCTAAGGGATTTAAAGGGAGATCAAGGTAGGTCAAGGTTAGGAGAATCCCTCTAACCTGCACATGGTGACACCGGTAATGAGTGTGGTGGTTGGTGCTGTCCCAGGTGGGAAGTTGCTGACATTGAAGTAGGACAGTGAGTGCTCCGTGTAGCCACTCATGGTACCGTTTCCACTGTACATGTACTGGTAGACCATTCTTGGAACAAACTCTGATGTGAAGGAGATGACGAATGCCTTTCAAGGCGAACATGGAAGAATGGTTAAACACTTGCAAGATTCAGCTGGGTCATGATAGTCTAAAAAAATCTCTCAGTTAAGAAATATTTAATACTAAGGTTTAAGTATGGTCTGTTGTCAAATATGAAACGTCCATGAGGAATATATTAGCCTGTGATGCACTGCAGACCTGTCCAGGGTGTACCCTGCCTTGCGCCTATAGACTGCTAGAGCCCCAGAGCGACCCTGACTGATTAAGCTGGAGAAAATGGATGTTGTATTAACCTTAGATCAGATGATATATCATATTGTTTACATTATGCTTCCAAAATATCAGAATTGTTGGTGACCTAATTATAGTCACACTCTATTCAAAGATCGGCTGATTTAAGACTTAACTTGGTAATATTAGAAAAATCTAACTTTAGCTTCAATACTAATGCATTGGGACTTGACTTGGGCTTGGGGGTCTGTAGTTGAAATAAAAAGTAATAACTTGCTGATCTGATGAAAGTAAAATAATTAGTCACTTAGAAATTTACTAAAAAAAAGTAAAACCTTTTTTCTTCTAGTAATAAATCTTTTAGAGATAACTGATATGAATTGCTAGACTTGAAATAAACCATAGAACATAAACTTGAATTGGAGCTGTAGATATTGATTTGTCACTGAGTTTGAGATTGCTAAACTCAACTTGTGACTCAACCTGACACTTGGTTATAAAGACTTGCAACTTGCTTGTGACTTGGAAATAATGACTTGGTGCTATTTCTGTTAAACACTGAATAAAGCTGTGCCAAGTAGAGTCAAACTGTACCAGTGAAATGAACCACAGAGCCACCAGAGCTTTTAGTTCTTAAAACTCCTTTGTTAAGGACTTTAAGATATTCAATATGAAAGAAAGTTAATTCACTAAGTACTTAGTCTTAGATCAGACACAGAAAAATACACTCCTGAAAAAAAAATCAATTTGACAAGTAAAAAAATATCCCATCTGGTGGTTCTTGAACACTAGGTTGTAAGATGAAATTAAACATGTAAATGTATTTCAAAAAAAGTATTATTGGTTATTTCCACTCTTTGATGGGCGCTTTAGGAACATGTGTGTTTGTGTCTTGTGTTTGACCAGACTTGTAGCACTGTGGTGATGGCTACATAAAGAGCAGCCAGGGTCCAAAAAGAGATTCTACCTTAAAATGTCTTTCAATAAATAGTTTTTATGGACTTGTTGGAATGAACAGACTAGGTCATCCCCTGGCAAAACAAACAACAGCCCTTAGTTGAGAGGAATGCCTGCTGTGCCATATCCAATTAGCTAACAGCATTTTTCACCTTAAACTCCATTGGTACAATAAAGGGAAAAGCTCCCGAGACCAGGATAAAGACTCCTTACCTGTGGTGTATAGAAAACATCTTCTTTTGTTGTATAATCTTAACTCTTTCAGATGCCCTGGATAAGGATCTGCCTACAGACTCATTTTGATTCTCTAACTTTAGTTTTTTAAATATCCTTTAGGCTGTTTAAAATAACTGTCTTGATAATGTAAATGTTGTAAATGTTGGAGACCTTGTTGGTGGAGCTTAAAAATTCTAGTCTTAAAAGACCGAAAAATTCTTTTTTACTTTGGCCATCAGAATGATATAAAAATGAAACAAAAGCCAAAGTTGTTTGGATTTTGACTTTTTATGGTAATTCTTTTTTACCAAATTATGAAGGCATTTGAATTTAAATATAGTTCTTAAATATATCTTATTTTATAATCAGTCACTTCTTTCTCTTCTCTGATCCAGTAAAGATCCATTGTTCAGGTTTGTGTAGGATGTTTTAGAACATGATTAGCATGTATCACATTGCCTTTTAAACATTTCTCACTCTTTTGTTGTGCTGTATAGTATCTGCCCTTTTTGGGCAAAAAAAGCCCTCTTCACTGGATGTTTATGCACTAACCAGGTGTTTAATTTCCTCCATTTTTAGCATATTGTCATTCAGACATTTTATTTTAAACACTGGTCATAATTTGTTATGTTTCTTAGGAATCGGCTGAAAACGATCAGAACGAAAAATTAATAGTAACAGGACACAATATAATATAATGAGAAGATATAAAATTGCCTGAAATATAAGTTAGAGTAGTACAGTTTCATGATAAAACCCTTCATAATTTGTTAGAAATACCTATTCCCAAGAAAAAAATAACCCAAAATGCAATCGCAAAATAAATGAGTAAGAAATGGTTTGTTCACAGAAAAGACATTGCAGGGGGATTGGACAAAATGGCAGTACTTTGTTTGGAAACGAGTGAAGGACAAAGCTGAAGACAAGTTGCTCCAGTCTACAAATACATTATTTGATTTGCAATTTATCTTCCCTACCCCCGAATTATGATTTTTTGTTTATTTTTTTTCACAATTTCCTTGGTGTTAATCTGAATTTGTACTCTGTCCAGTAAAATCAGCTGCAAGGAAAAAAGTTCAGTCTGTTTGTATAAAAAACAGACAGACTGTAATATGCAGTGTCCTTAGATTCTGACACATATTAGGGAAAAAAGCAATATACACACACAGTGATGCAGAAAAACAATCAGGACAGATGTAAGCAGACTTACATTGGTAATGACAGAGAATTTGCTGATTCCACACAGAATGTTGTACCAAATCCCTGGAGACAGCATGAGCAAAAATACAAGAAGGAGAATGAAAGAGAGTGGACATATGTGGGAGGATGCTATGGTATAAAAAAAAAAAGTTTCTTCTAGCATGGACAACAAAAAGAAGGGAAGCGGATGAAGGGGATGAAAACTTAGCACAGAGACAGAAAAAAAATGTTTCTGTACCTATGTCCTTACACCTGACTGCATCTGGTCGCCTGATCTCTGTGACAAATTTTGCAGCATCCAAGCGAATCTCAATGACGTTGTTGAGCAGAGCAAATGCAGGTGCCAGCGGAAAGGAAGCAACAAACAGTGACACAAATCCGTACTGGATAACTGAGTGAAATATTCAGACACAACCATAAATAATTAAAATTTGATTTTATTAGAGCAGCAGTGTATTATTTATGGTATAAAGAATGACAAAAGAAAACAGACTTACTCATTTCCATGTACTCTGGACTGACACCCTCAAAGGGTTCAAGAGCAAAATCTTTGTCAAACTGTTGCTTTGGTCTTATCTCTTCTGTTTCGTTCTCTTCATTCTCTGCTGCTCTTTTCTTTCCCTTTTCTTCCTGAATTGTTCTGTACATCTTTTTCATTTTACTAACAAAAGGGATTAGAATTACAAACAATAAAAACAAGTTGAAGAGATACAATAAAATAGTCTGAATGCTAATATATTAATTAAAACATGATGCAAATATCTAATTGGCTTTCATAGAAAACTTGTAATGCTGTAGATAGGTTGCGTAAGCGAAAGTGTTAAAAAAGAGAACCAAAGGGACGACCCTGTCCGGAAGTGGGAAATATTCTAGATTTAACCTGACTAAAAGGTTAATTTGGTTAAATATGTTTTTACAAGGCACTTCAAATCTAGATATAGAATAAAAAGACACTGGTGTATACATACGGGATGACAATCTCAAAGACATTGTTTTGAATGAGCTGTTTTCCGAGCATGATCATGCTAAGCTGGATGCACAGCTCGATGAGGCAGCCTGGAGGAGCGCACTGTGGACATAAAAAAAAAGAAAACGACGATCATCAGAATGGCGATTTTTCTTCTTTTTCTTTTAATTTTGTGTTATTAGGACAAAATTTGACATAGATGGGCTTAAAAAAATCAAACAGAAACCTGAACATTACATGATAAAAAGTTCATTGCAGGAGAGGAGCTCAGCCAAGCCACCATCAACAAAATAACCAGCCAGCGATTAGATATGTTATATAAAATTCACCACTTATAAAGGTGACCTTTTTAACAGTAAATACACCTCTTAATTTATCAGGAAAATGCAAATTCCTGCGTTTTGAGCTGGTCCTTTATAGTGTGACCTAATGTAGGTTTAAGAAAATGTTTAAGAAAAAGTTACTGAACCTATTTAATTAAACCAGCAGTTCATTGGATTTGAAAATGAAACATAAAGGAGGATTTATTACATTTCGTAAAAATTTTACTTATGCCGCTTTTTTGCATCTGGGATGACATTCAGTTAAAATCAATTTAAGGATGGAACCAAAGATCAGTTCCGTAAAAATAAAAAATAAAATGTTTGAATTTTTACGGAATGACTATGACCTGGATGACTGAGAATCTTCATCAGCATAACTAAAGATTAGGCATTGGAAGGCCTCCTTGCTGTCCCCAAAGGACTTCAGAATAGTGGAAGATACTAGGGAAACATGCAAAAGGCTTGACAAAAACTGTAAAACATGTTCAATTTACAAATACTTCACTCTGTCATTGAGCACTATGCAGGGTATTGAGTATTATATAAATAACATCAATTTTTCTGTTAATACAAAAACCCATTGTATACCTATTGTATATTGTCTTGCTATAATCCACTGCAACTTGCACACTGTCTCTTCCTCTGCACTGTTCACACTTTGACCACTGCTGCACTTTTTGTATTTTTCTATAACTTGAGCCATTTGAAATATCAATGCAACGTTCATAAGCTGTATGTAACGCAATTTCGTTCTGTATGCACCCTGTGCATACAAAATGACAAATAAAGAAGTCTAAGTCTAAGTCTAAAGTCTAAGTCTATAATAAATTTCATACCTCAAAATCTTGGATGAAGAAAAATCATTTTAAATCTACGTCTGCTGGAGGCAATGTCTCAAGATAAGATATTTTAGTAACTCATTGCCTCTTTTTCCATTAAGACACTCTGATGTTGGTTAATAGTCTGATCAAGAGAATGTTCAATGTTGTCTAGAAAGTTCCTTATTTGAAAAAGAATTCATCTTTGTGAAATCATATCCAGTGATCAGAGCCAGGCTTCTTTATCAGCTTGTTGAACTTTATTTTTAAGTCATCAGCTCTGATTCTCTTACTCCAGCTGATGATGGAAGAGGAGAGCCCAACAGCATGTTGCTGCAAACACTGAAGGAAATAAGCTTCCTTAAGAAGTAAAGTCTGCTCTGTCTCTGTAGACAGTCAAATTTGTTGTTCCGGCTAACAACAACGTATTTATGCTCCTCTATTAGCTGCACTTCTTCTACCAAGTTAATAATATTCAAAGTGTTCCTGTTTCTTTTAAAGTCTACAATCACCTCCCTTGTTTTGTTTACATTCCAGATCAGATTATTGTTTTCACAACAATAATCTATATTTAACACCATATATTTGTAGTATTTGTAGTCAGTCACCCACTCAGTCATTGCAATGACGCCCTCTCCATGTGACTGACACAGGGCATTCAAGTATGTAGCCTAAAATAACCTTGCAGGGCTTCTTCCGATTCCTGTGAACATCTTTCACAGTTTACAGTTGTTTTTAATAAAGGTTGTCTCTTTTGAAAAGGGCTTATAATCTGAGCAGAAAAAGATGGATAGTGATCTCATTTTCCAACAGGAGGTCTTTGCAGATGAATGAGTCAGTAGTATTTGCATAAAAACAAGTCCAAAGCTTCGTTTTCTCTGGTACAGCAGCTGTTTGAAGATTGGCAGTCCAGAGAGACTGGGGCATAATTACTGCAAAATCACCAGTTAATGGCAAAAAGTGCAAGTCTGTAGGTTAGCAACAATGAAACTGATGACATCATGTGTAGTATCTGCAAAAGCAGAAAATTGAATGTAAACAGAATGCTGATCTTCTGGGTCCTTGGTAGAGCTTGGAGTTCTTCTAACTTGATTTCTTAAGATCTCACATTGCCCATAATGATCAATGGAAGAGATGGCTTGTATTTCTTGCTCCTCTCTCGTCTCCTTGCTCCGGCTCTGTGTCTTTGCTGCCTCCTTTTCATCTCAGCTGGTATTTGCAGAGATGGTTGAAATATTATTTTGGGGTTAGATTTGTTATTGAGATGCTCATGGTGCAAACAACCAAGTTACTGTTTTTGTTACGGCTATGAATAAAAAATGTCCAAAAAGGGAAAAAAAGTACTGGCAAAATCCTTCTAGTAGCACAGCGTTTAACACCAAAGGGCAAAACAAAAATGGGAGAAAAAAAAAATTCTAATAATTAGAACGTCAGACTAGCTGTGCAATTCCACAGTGCAGCCACCTTACTCATGGTAATTCTTGAGCAGAACTGGTCAAATAAGTATTCGATTTTATCACCACTAACAGAAAACAAGCTCCAGATATCTTGAAGGCCTGCAGTTCTCAACAGTGCAGACTGAGGTTAAGCATAATGAAGCATGAGATTCAGTAACAGTGTAATCACATTATTGTTACATTTGGATTGCCTTTATGTATAATTTGCAGCAGTGTTTGTAGCAGCACAATAATAAGTCTACTTTTCATCTTGAAAATAATCTTAAACAAGATACATGAAATAGAAATTCTATTTCTAAAGCAGTGAGCAAGGTAAAGTCATACTTTTAAAATGTTTTAAAAAGCAGGTGTCTGGTCTTTTTTTCTTTTTTTGTTATGTGCTTATTTTTATGTTAGGCAAACATTTCTCTATGTTAATAAGAATAAACATTATCTCTATGCAAAACCAGACCTACCTCCTCCATGCGATAGTCTCCGAAAACGTAAACATAATCACCTGGCCTCCCAGCAAATCTGTACAAACAAACCAGATTGCATTCAATGAATTTGATGCCTTGTCTTTTTTAAATTGAGGGGAAAAAAATAATAAAAAATAAACTGGTTGAAACCCACCTGCCCTTGAAGAAGGCAACATAGAAAATAGGGGCAAAGGCGTTCATGGATTTCAGGAAGAAAGACTTAAAGATTAACCGCTCTTCAAACTCTTCCTCGGTCTTAGGAAGTTCTGGTGACAAAAACAATTTCAATGTGTTAACAATACAGTGAAATCCAATGCTGTAACAAACTTGTACAACTTAACCGTTACATAAATCTAATTAAATTATTCAAATATGCTAAAGTGCATACATATTATGTGATTCATTGTTTTCATCTGTAAATGTTTCTCTATATAAACATCATGTCTGTAGAGCGAAATAAACCCTGTGAATAATTAACCACCCTTTTTCAGTGGTTTGCTTTATAACAGAATTAAACAGCGTACCAAGCTCAGTCAGCCACACAGCGATTGCTCCATAGACCTCTTCCAATACCAGAACGACCAACATGTTGAGGACGATGCCTGTGGTGGTTACGGTCATTCTCACACTGGCCTTGGCTTCGGGATCAGGGTTCATGGACCAAACACTTAACATGCAGATGCGATAAACTACCACACCAAACACTGCAGAAAAGGTGACAAAAATCTAGAAATAAACAAAAAAAATGGAGAAAAAGACATGGTTAAAAATAATTATTTAAAATGAGAATGCAATTAAAGTCATGGTGCATTTAAAGATTTTGTTTTGGACAAGATTTTCTGTTTTCTTTAAAAGGGGTCAGGCTTTCCTGAAGATTTTTCAAACTTTCTGAAGATTTCCCAAACATTTTCAAGAAAAACTTTTTTCAACTGACTTAATTTAAAAAAAAATCAAAATCAAAGAATTTTTTTTCAACACATTTAAAAAATAATAAGCATTATGATCACAGGCTTTTTTTTATCTAAAAAAAAAAGAAAAATAACTTTACAAATCCATTTAGATACTAAAAAAGCGAACATTAAATGAAACAAAATAAAATGCAGCAAAGAAATATAAAGTAAATATTGCTCTGAATCACTTTAAATACAATAACATAGCAGCTGATTGAAAGCAAATGAAAGCAAAACAAAACAAAACAAATAGATTGTGATATTCGTAAGAAATGAATCACCTGATTTTGATGAACTACCTGTTACATCAAAATAACCATAATAACCCTCTGTCTATTAATCCACCTAACCCTTCTGTTTATCAAAAGATTAACTATAAGGTCGACAAAGAGACAGATGGCAAATAGAAAGGTGAGAACATGAAGAGAGTCTGAGTGCAGTACCAGCAGCAGTAAGGTGGACACATTGATGAGATAACCTGACAGGTGATCCTCAATGTCCAAGGACTCGGGTTCTGCCTGTTAAGGCAAAGATACTTATTACTTGTCCACAAAAACAACATCATCCTTCAAATTACATTATTCTGTGTGATGGGAAGTACAGTTCTGCATAGATAAACACTTTTCAACGGTGGGGAGGTTGCATGTTTGGCTTCTGAAAGGACAGAAATCTCCTCCCCTTTCTCCTCTCCCTCCTCCGCTTTATGTCTCTGTCAGTAATCTGGGCTAATCTCAGCCAGCTAATCTGCTTTGGGCTCAACCATACACAGTGCAGGGAGGGGGTTTATTGTCTACTAATAAAAAACTAATATACTACTAATATAATAAATATGCCCTAAAATTATTTCACAATAAGTTCCTATTATAAACAATATCAAATGGTAGAGTTTGTCCTAATATCAAATGTTACTGTGGTAGCTTATTTGTATAAATGGTTCAATAATATATGTATGTGCTTCATCAGTAGTTCCAGCCGTTTATTGTGCAGTGAAGAGGTACCTGTGAGGTCAGCATCTGGTCCGTTTCTCCATCTACACCTTCTCCAGAATGAGTCATCTAAAATAAAGGACAGATGGTAGAGCATGAGAGAAAACCTTTAAACCATTAAACGTTTGATAGCTGAAAGGAATCTGAACCTTTAAATGTTAACAAACCTTCTTTTTAGCCAGTGATTTTAATTTTGCCTTCTTCTCCTGAAGAGCTTCTTCATATTCAGGTCGCAGTTCATCCTGCAGTGTGCATGCAAACAAGTCAAATTACAGCATATTTGAAGTCTATATTTCAGGTGTGAAAAAAAGACAGTCACTATAAGCCAAATGTGGAGAAATATGTTGAAAATGTTAAGAATATTTATACAAAAAGGCCTTTTTAGCATTTACATAGCAGATTCTTCTACGTTTTTGGATAAAACTATATTTAACCAGTAAGAATAAAAATAAATAAATGATTCAAATTATCAGAATTATTACACATTTTTATTTGAATACATTTTATGAAACCAACCTCCAAGGAGACATTGGCATTAGTTTTATTTTGTTTCTTTACATTTCCAGTGACTGTTTTGTTGTTGATGTTGTTTTGATTAAATCTATTCTATTCTATTCTATTTTATTCGATTCTATTCTATTCTTTTCTATTCTATTCTATTTTATTCTATTCTATTCTATTCTTTTCTATTCTATTCTATTCTATTCTGTAATACTCTATTCTATTCATGTTAAAGAGTTAAACTTTTATATGAAACATCCTACCTGAACTCGCTCCTTCAGGCAGGAGAAGACATGAAAAAGTCAGAGAGAACACAGGCGTTAGACTGTTATGTTTTGAGTTGCAACCTTGCTGTGCCCTTTAAGGCCAGGATCAATCAGGTTACTGTTCTTTAAAGCGTAACTGTCTGGCAGCAAGAGCAGTGTTTTGCTATTGAAAGGCAAGTAAGAGGTCAGGAAGTAATGAGAGACTTCCAGGAATAAGAGCATTACGTCTGTGCTTTCTCTATGTTGTAAAATGTTCTCTGAGGCCATTACAAGTTTCCTTTTTTCAAGGGGAGAAATAAGGGTAGGATTCTTTACTTTTATGTGACACAAAAACAAATACATGTTAGTGTGTGTGTGCTCCTGTTTTAGAATAAGAATGAAGACAGGTTTCAGTTTTTAACCTTTGCAGTAAGAACATTTTCATGAAGCGAAAACATTTTGGCTGGTCCTGGGGTGCTTTTTGGTAATAGTTAGGTTTAGGCCTACAGTAAGGTGTGAATTGGGTCACGGTTAGGGTGAGGTATGCACTGGTAAGGGTTAGGCTAGGGTTAGTTTAGGCTGAGGGTTATTGTTACGGTTAGGGCATAGAAAGGTTTGGAAATGACAGAAAATCAGTGGAAGTCAATGGGAGTGAACTCATGGTTCTCGCTACCTATACTCAATGAGAATAAGTGTGTGTTCTCAATGGAGTGTGTTGGTAATGTCCAAACATGAAAAACAACCTATTTTATTACCTCTTCATGCTCTAAGCTCGTCAGGTCCCATGAATGTTTCAGACACATCTGTCTCCTCTTCCAGTGTTCAAGGAAACATGCAGCTAAAAAAAAGATTATATACATAAGATATAACCTTTCACAGAGAAATGTAAAATCTGATGTTTTTTATTTACATCAAGCTTGAAAATCCCCACTGTGTTTATATTTTTAAAAGCATTAGAGGGCAGCTGGTTGTGTTCAGCTCTAATTGGAAATTACTAAGCCAAACTTAACCAATCATTTCAACCCAATCATTTCACTCACCTCACTACTTAAACCATTTGCACATTTTTATTTTGTTACTAAAATCAAATTGTCATCTTTTAAGACTTTATAATAGTACAACATCAACCATGCTGTGGATGTTTGACTTTCTTTTTTTGTAAAAATGATTATCTTAAAGCTACAGTGTGTAATTTTCAGCGACATCTAACGTTCAGACTGCAGACCGCAGCAACATGAACATCTCCCACCCCACCGCTTCTCCCCCCCAACAGTACAGCGAGCGTTACGGGACAAAATGTCTTCCACGACGTTCGCATCACCTACCTTCTCAAGTGATGAGGTTTGTTTACATAGATAATTTTAATACTGCCATCTATTGTTCAGTACCGTCTCAGTTCATCTCTCTCAACTTGCCGTAGATACTTTCAAGCGTAATGGGCGATCTCGCAATCGCTAGTTTGTTGGCTCTGCGCTGCCGTAGCGCAAAGATGTCTGCCTCCATGGCTGCGAGACCCGCTCCTTTGTAATTATACATAACAAATTCTAAGGCAACGCAAACATTAAGGTTAAGAGGCTGAGCTCGTGGATGATGATAAATAACATAGTTATGTATAATATATTACATTTCTGACTGTATATCCCTGTAAATATTACACGCTGTAGCTTTAAATGTGTTGCATATACTTGTGTTGAGCACCCCCTGAGTTGATCCTTTGTAAAACAGCCTCTCAAATGTATAACAGCTGTAAGTCTTTTTTGGAGCGTCTCCTCATTATAAAAATTTAGCCTAAATGTTTTATCTTCTTATTATTTTGTAAAACAGCTCAGCCTCAGTTTGACTAGCTGGAGAATATTGGTGAATAAAAAATATTATGTGTTGAAATAAATTACTGCAGACAGTAACAGACAGAGACTTATTTCAAACTTTTACCAGAGTCAGACTAATGCAACTAAGAAAATGACTGCATAGAAAACATCTCAAGTACTGCACTGAGTGGAGCCTATACAATATATACAGACCACTGTACTTAGTGCTAAAGTATTGGACGTCTAATCTAATCAAGGAGAGCAGCACAAACAATAGATCAGTTGTTGTTGCATTAATTGAGTGAGGTTAGGTTTTTAAAAGATGTAGAAAAAATGTATATGTATTTATAAAAAGAAAAAGATTAAATGCAAGGCAAGCATTTCAGCACTTAATAAAGAAAGATATATTAGTATACTCTTATAGTATTTCAAAAGGTTCATCTATGTAGTGGTAAAGAATAATTAGATTATCATCTTAACACCTCCTGTCTGTTTCCAAGCCAATTTAAGCTGGGAGAAGATTTTTTTCTGTCCTGCATCTGCTTTTCTAATAATGAGCCGAAAACATTATTGTCGCTGAATTCTTGTAACCTCTAACCGTGGTCAAACAATGGATTATTTACTAATTGAGGGTGTGGGAGCCTTTCTGTCATTGGCATGTTAATTGAACTGGTCCTACCTGCATTAACATTTAAAAAAAAGTGCATAGTAGGTGTATATAGTTACCCCACAGGGACATGAAGATAGCAAAGAGAACAGTGGCGCCATTGTCGAACAGGTACGAGGCTCGGGCCAGTGAGCACACTGAACTCAATCGCCAGTAATCACACACAGCATCACACAGTGGACACATTGTGATGTTCAGGTTGTCATCACAAGTCTCCTGACTGAATAGTACAAAGTTAAGCAAATAGAAATGCATGATTTTAATCTCTAATTGTTTAGACGTATTAATTTTGATGAGCATATTTAAACTTCTGCCTACCTTGGCACATTGGTATCTACGGTAAATATGCCATACAGGAAGACAATGATGCCCAGCACAGAGGGTGGTATGAGAAGCTGAGTATAGACACCCAGCCAGGCAAAATATAACCCAATTTGCTCTCCAAAGTACTTCCTGTAGAGAGAGAAGATAATTAATCTAGAATTAATCATATTTTGTGTGTCATTTAGACACAGTTTAAATAACTCAAAAACATTTTTTTATGGTATTGAATCAAGAAGTTCTAAAATACTTGTATCGTGTTATCTGTATGTTTTCATACCAAGCAGACTTTAGAATGATTGACAATTAGGAGGACCACTTATTTTGATGATCCACCCAGAAAAAGAACACCCTTCACTATACCTTTAACTATGTGTGACTATACTGTAAAATGCAGTTACAAGCAATCACAGAATAATAAATGTGGTTGCTAAAGCTTCTCCATACCTGATTAGGTCAACAGGCTGATATTTGAACATGACACCATAGTTGGCCCACTCTTCATGGAGAAGCTGAAAAAAAGACATATTACACAGAGGTATAATATATCTGTTTATAAAACTGAAAGCTGTTTGTGCCTCATTGCATCTTGATTGACTCCAACAAATATATTGAACCAATTATTTACAAGGTTTTTTCCAAAGAAAGTAACTTCTATTGAAACTTACCTGTCTGTCATTCCGTTGATCTTTTCCTCCTTTCCATGTAAATGAACCCTAGAAGCAGTCAATATTTTAAGCTCATGCATATTCAGATATTGCAATGGTAGTCAGACTGCAAACTGTATTGGATTTCCCCTCTACAATGTGTGTGCTGTTCCTTTTGGGTGGTATATGTTAATTGGACTGTGATAACTTTGATCTAATATAAACTAATATAATTTGAAAACATAATATGCTGTTTGATATGGAGGTAACATTTGTTTTCAAATGTTAAACTACAAAAACGCAAAATAAAAAAAATAAAAACACAGAGAAAAACCAAAGAACAGTTGGATAACTGTTTTCAGTTTACTCACATCGTGCAGAGGGAAGGCAGAAATGTAAACACCTCGAGCCAGCAATGAGTTGATGCCTTAGGATGCAAAAACAGAGGATAAAACAAAATCTATACTGAAACCACTGGGAATAGATGAGAAAAGAATAAAACATTTATGAAAACTTTTTTAACAGCTGCTGAACTAATGCATACAGTCTTAAAACACTGCCTATTTTCTTGCTGGTTAATGTGAAAGAAGGTTAGATGATAAAAGCCTTTTAACAGTGACTTTCGTAACAGCCAAATGACAAGAAAAAAAACAAAATAGGGTTATCCCAATTTTGCTATATTACAGCCTTTTAAAGATTAGGACTTTTTAAAAGTTATCAAATTCATTTATTGTGGGTCCCCTACGCAGCCTACTTAAGTAAATTCCATCCAGGTCCCTTAGAAATCGGAAACCTACAGCCCTTATAATTCATTTTATACAAAACATTGTCTCTTATTTTGAAGTGAATTGCTCTGCTTTACTTTGAAAGTCCAACGTTTAAACCTTTCCTGTCAAACTTTCTTAAAAGTGAGTAAAAGCAAGGCCTGTTGACTATAGTCTACAAAGTTACAATTTAAAAAAAAAATCTAGCTCCACTTCAATGACATATTTAGGGAAAACCTTAAATGTGCTATAATTGTAGACCCATAGATGAAGCGCATCTACAAATTAAAGCAAGATAACGAATCAAGACCTAAAATAGAGGCTGTGCCTAATTGTATTGCATTGGAAGCTCGCAGAGCCAGGAATTTTAGACATGTCTAAATCTATCAAAAGTTTAAACTCACCTGTGGTTTGGCAAGTGCGTGTGCAGGTAGTACGTGAAATTATCTCAGCAACCTGGTAGCAGACATATCATTAGTGATCTACCTAAATCAACAAAAATACTTAGCAGCATTTCATCATACTACCCATAGTTTCACAGACTTAGAGGTTCTATTCCATGAACTTTGCCTTAGTTTTGCCTGCTACTTTCAGTAAAATTCTTGCAACAAACTGGTTACCTTCATGGAATTTGGAAGTTAATATTGAGAAGTTAAAGGATTTTTTTAAAGAACTCTTTAGGAACTTAAGAAATACTTCCCATGACTTTCATTGATCTTCCTAGAAGCTGTCATCAACCTCCATTCATGGAACTTTTCTGGTATTCACCAGGTACTTTCCATTAATTTAAAGAAGCTTTCATGGAGGTTTATCTTAATTATTGCATACCGGTTGTTTGTGGAATCTTTATTCAGCTTCAATGGAACTTACTCAAGTTCTATATGGTATCTGGAAAGTCCCATGTCAATTTCAGAACATATTTAATAAGTTCTATAAAAGTGGCTGGTTGTTGTGGGACTGTCCACTAAAAACATAAAATTAAAGTACAGCAAATGTTTCTTAAAGGTTCCAGAAAGAACCTCCAAAGTAAAAAAAAAAAAAAAGTGTTGAAGAACATTCAGAAAGTTCAGGAAAGTACCTGAAGAGTATCAAGGAAGTACTTCATTGGTTTCTGAAAAGTTCCACACACAGTCAGAGCTTGAGAGCTTCATAAAATATCTGACAGATTGCTCTAAAGGTTTCACAATGGTCACTTTAAACACAGTTCTCAAAATACATACTCCTGTTTCCTAAGAATACCTTCGAGTTCTAGAAAGTAAAAAGTAAGTTCAATGAAAGTTCTGGAATTGATTTAAGTAGGTTCGAGGAAAATTATTTGTAGTGTGAGGGATTGCCTTTGACTCAATGATGCAATCAACGATGCAATCAACTGGTTTTCCTTAGATAGAAAACTTTGAATCAATTTTACTGTATGATCTGGTTGCATTGTAGGGTGTCTTGAGATTTGTGTTGTGAATTGGTGCTATATAGATAAACTGAATTAAAATTGAATTGACAGCACCTTCAAATGTCAAAAATATATTGGGGTTGTTCATGGAAACCTCAAGAAAAGTCTGGCTAATAGTATAAAGTGCTACAAAATACTCTATTCAGAAGACATTTGGAAGATATGATCTCATAGACTCACTATTCTGCTCCTTGTTGCATTGTCAAATAAAGTTGCTGTTGACTTGATGTCATACCTGCAGGAAATGGCAATATGAGAAGGAATTACTATCTTTTGAACTGCAGGTGTGTATTTATTTCGGTTTTGCATTTAAAAGTTTTGAAAATTTGGAACAATGTGAGAGGCAAACAGCCTGTTATATAAATCAGTACTAAACATTATTGAATTTAACCATAAAAGAAAACCAAATATATAAAGGCCCAGGTACTTACAGGTGCAGCTTGTCTCTGATGAATGAGTGTTTGAGGGTTTTGAAATGGACACGCGACTGCGAGTCTTGGTGGATGTCATTGTTGGGGACGTGGGGCTGAAATGGTCTGTTAAGTTGGTTGACAACAGTATCCCACATTCCAACAATGCCTGTCCTTTTCCGCAATTCACATTTCTGTTTAAATGAAACGAAAGTAAAGAAAAAATAATAATAATGTTTGGTTCAGAGATCTAATAGTTATCTGCATTTTATAGATTTCTAAAAAGTAGATGGTAAGTAGCTATGACTTTATGAACATTTATATTACTGTTTTAGCAACTTGGACCGACTTTTTGGGGGGATATTATGGTTATAGTGATAACAGTATCCAGAATATTCATATAGTCTTATATAAGCCAGGATGCTGCAGTTTTAGCATATTATAATTGATCAGTCTCTATGTATCCTGCTTGTATTGATAATCTGCAGAAATCTGCCAGCAAGTGTCTAATAAAACCAATATATTCACTATTCAAAGTGGAAAACCCCTTACCTTTTTCACAGCGACCTTAATCTTCTGTAACTCTGCTTCACGACTGAGAATTGACCATGGGATGTGCAGTCGAATAAAGCTGATGCCATTTGACTTCTACACAGAAAACACATAGAAAAAACAATAAGAAGAAACGACACAGAAATTATGTATCACAGATTAAGCTGACAGTGCAAAAGCGATCTAGAAATAAGTATACATTTCAATCAAATTAAATGTATTTACCCTTAATTTGATTAGGAAAATAAGAGGATCTGCCTATGGAATGGGGATTTTTATTCTTAAAACAAAATATTTAGATAATATGCACTTCAAATAAGACAACACAGTTGTTTTTCTTATTTCAAATGTAAATTGCCTTGTTCAATTGGCAAAGTTTCTCACTTTTCCATTTCAAGAAAAAATGCACTTATTTAAAGAAAAAAATACTTATTTAGATTAACTTTTTTGCAGTGTAAATCAATACCTAACATTTGTTTAGCTCTCTGTTCAGTACAAAATAACCATTTAGTGTTTCAGTAACGTTTTCTGATAATAATCATATAAGATAGACGTCTAGAGGTTATTATTTCCTGCTGCTGGTTTTCAACAGAACACCATGCCAAGAGAGGAGAATCTTTATCAATTACCTAAAAGAGGGAGGTTCTAAATATTCTAAATAAGAAAACATTTCAGAACAATTTGAAGTCAAACCTTTCAGGAAGAAAAATATCCATGAGTAAAAACACATTTAGGACAGTTGCTGTTCTAAAGGAACTGCTTTGAACTTAAAGGTTTGGGAATAAACATTTTGCCAATCATTTTATACTCTTTCTGAAAGTTGCTTATTTTGAAATTTGGCCATGGCAAAAAAAAAACCACAACAATATATAGTTAATTACTTTACAATTCTGGTAAAAAAAAAGAAGAAAAAAAAAGAAAATGGAGACCATTTTGTTTAGAGAAATTTTCCAAGTACATATCAAAAAAGGTCTGCAATATAAAGGTTTTCCTCTGGACAAATTAATCCTAAGGTCAGATGGCTGATGGCAGCAAGCTATACCTGTTTTGCAAAAAAAGAAAAAAAAGAAAAACTAGCAAAATAAACCAGACTATCAGCACAAATATTTTATATCGACAATGAAGTGTGGGGATGAAAGAGACATTGATTTAGGCTTCTTTGCAGTCAATAAATAACGATCCAGCAAAACATAGCATAAAATCTACAACAGACTCAGCAAAAAAGAAATCAAACATTTTTCACATGAGAAATGCTCAAGGTACACAGACGCCAATTGTTTAATAATAAGTTACCTTGTTCTGATCCTGCACAAGCAGCTGAATGCTTGAGTATGCTTAGTTTTTACCTTGACTACAATACCAAACTCAAGGTTTCAAACAGAATTGAATACATACACAATTGAATACATGCTGCATGCCCAACGTATTTGCTCCTTAAATATTTTCTTAGTACTTAAATTATTTAGATCATTAAGCAATCTTAAATTAATCATCACATGAGAAAAGACAGAAAAACAGTTTGCAAAGAAAGTTATGATTTAATAATGGAAAACAGCTGCTGCAAAACCCAAACTGCACCCTATCTTAAGCTCATGAAGTGATCGCCGGACATTGTGCTTTAAGGGGAGTGGCGGTCTAGTGGTTAGGGCTTACAGCTTGGAATCCTGAGGTTCTGAGTTCGAGCACCACTCCCACAGACTACCACTTTGGGTCTCTGAGCAAAGACCCTTAACCCCACAATGCTCCCTGCTCACAATGGCAGCCCACTGCTCACCCAAGGGGATGGGTTAAATGCAGATGTAAATTTCTCCAATGTGAGATTATTTAAAGTTTATTATCATTTGTCCAAATAGTGATCAGAATTCATGGTTTAGCTAGTTAGGGTATATTGTCCAGGGTATAAGGTAGCGAAATGGCATTAAAATATTGCTACCTTTTAAATTTTTGTTACAATGCTCCTTTTCTGAAAAGTGCCACTTTTGTATCAGTGCTCCAAAAAACATTTTAAAAAACTCCTGACAGCCTTTTAAATGGTAGGCTGTGAAATAGGGCTTTGCACTCATTGCTTAGAAGTGCAGCTCTTTCAGACACACATCAATGACTTAGTTCAGAGTTAATGGGTTGCTATATATTACCAGTAGATATGTTAATAATTTGAGAACTAATCAGGTACAACCTTGTAATCAGGGATCCTAAATAAATGCTTAAGTGTAGCATCCCTTCAGCATACACTTTCAATAGTGAATGACTCCCTAAGAAGGTCTTGTAATCCAGCCCTTGGCTCAAGTTACTTACAGACAGGGTTTTTTAATCCACATCCAAAACAGCATCCAATTTAACCTACCAGCAAATGTTGTTCAGAGACCAACACAACAAAATGCTACAATGTAGATTTTTTTAACATTTCAGAGACAGAAGGTTGTACCCACTTCTTTGTCACGTTCAATCTGTAGTCCAGCCTCCAGCAGTCCAGCTTCAAACTCCTCCCTCATAAGAGCCTTCTCCTCCTCAGAAAGCTTTGAGTCTTCTGCATCTCCCGCTGCTCCGCCTGCCTCCCCAGATTCTGCTTCAGTCTCCAGTCGAACTGGTAGAATTATTGGCAAATTCCCATTGGATGAAATTGATAATCTGGGTTTAGAACCCCGCCTCTTTTTGCATTTGTAACAAAGTACATAGTCCACTTTTCTCTTCCCATCAGCAAAAAAGAGTCCAGGTCCAAGATCAATGCCAGAATCCTTACAAACAAACAAACAGACAAACAGGTATAGATTTAAGTGACTAATTGATTAACACTATGAAACCAATTTCAAGGTCTTCAAAGGCAATCTATATTAATTCTAAACTGTTATCTTACTGGTGGTGGGGGCTCATTGCTGTCAGGTGGGGTGACAGCTCCTCCATTTGCAGCATCAAGTCCAAACCCAGACAGCGATCGTGCCAGTGACACAAGCTTTGCTGAGTGAAAGGCCGATGACTCACTCATTGCTTTGGTAAAGGATATCTGCTCTTTTCCGTTTCATCCCTCTGTTGGAATGAGAAAGGTAAAATCTGCAATGCATTTACTTTAAATATGTGATGTGGTTCACATGGGTGTAGTGGTGGAATCGTTCGTTTTTTTGTTTGTTTTTTGGGGGGGGATTTGAAAGCATAAGATATTTTATATAATATTATATATATATGTGTATCTAAAAAATATTAGCAAATCTTAAATCTTTAAAAAAAGTGAGACTCTATTTATAATTGCACATTCCTTTTTTATATTTCTATCCTTTTATTTGTAGATATCAGCTCAAAGTCTATGGATTACTTCAAAACAATGATATCAACATTTAAAATCTTTGTGTACATTTACATATTTAGCATTTAAACGGTAGTGAAAATGGGAATTTTGAACATTGCAAGAGAATGCCACATGGAACACCATAGAACATTTAAGGAAAAGACAGAAAAAAAAATCCTAGGCAGTCTTAACAATTTTCAAAATTATTGTCATGACAAAGATTAAGTGCTTGTGGTCGCTCCGCAGTATAGATAAGGAGCATTAAAGATTTAAGATGTGCCAAAGTGGCAACATGTAGCTGGTCACGCTGATAAGATGTAGGTGGCCATTCCTACCGAATGAGGAACCTCACCTGAGCAGTGACGACCAGGGAGATGCTTCAGATCACAGTTTCCAGCTAATAAAGAATGTCTTGGAAGTGAATAATATCCATTTCAACCATTTAGTAAGATTTGCTTAATGTAAATTTGAAGGAAAGTTAAGTTTTGAATGACACGATCCACAGTGAAAGTGTGCTTGTTCTAACATAAAAGCTCTAGAGAAAATCTAATCTGTCCTGTCTTTCACTAATTTGAAGGTGCAGGTTTAAGATTAAGCAGCTGCAGCTTTAATCTGTTGGGGTAATTTGGTAAGTGGGCACATTTTCTGGATGTAAGAATAAAATCCACTGTTGCTTGTCATTACAATGGGGGAGCGGCTGCCCCTTTATTGTGTCCAAATAATTGAAAAATGAGCGCCCTCAGTGATGAGGACACATTGTATGTTTTTTTTATTTTCATACGTGCCCTTTAAAAGGCTGTGCATGCAAGTGCCAAGTTCTGCTACTTTCTTTCTCCTTTTTGTCAGCTGTTATTTAGAATCCGCCACTTCTGTCTGTTTCTTTCCAGAGTTCAATGTAGTGCTCTTTAAACTCAGAAGTGAGCATTTGCGAGAAGTCTGGCCAAAGCTTGATGGACTGGAGAGAACAGAATAATGAAGTCTGTATTTTCAAGGAGTCACGAAGAATGTAAAACAACGCGGAAACAATAAAACAGATTAATAAATTATTTTAATAATCGTCAACTAATTTAGTAATGGATTAATCCTAACATTTTGCATTCAGGTTGAGAAACAGCTTTTGTCTATATATATGCTTTATCCAATAGTCTTCTAAGAGTGAAGTTTTAGCTTTACTTGGTTTAAATTCTGTGTTAAATTCTCTTTAAGGAATTTAATTTTGGCACACAATTATGAATCGATGAATCGAAAAAGGAATTGACAGATCAATCGATTAGCAAAATAATAGTTAACTTATTAATTAACTCAACAACATAGAATGGGGGAGGTAAGCAGGATGTGGAATTGGAGTGTCAAAAACCTAACAAATTTTTAAAGATAGACCTTAAATATGTGGCTTTGCCTAGTCTATTTCACATCACAAATTAAAATATTAACATTTACAGTATAAATATTTAAAAGTAAGAAAGTGCTCCATAAAACACACACAAAAAAAGAAACAATAAAGAAAAATTTTCTATTTTAACTGAAATGTACCTTTTTGTCACTGTTGCTTGGGATTTATTTAATGCAAAATACTTATTTTACTTTTTTTTTTTTTTTTTCTTTTTTGCATGAATTTGAAGCTGTTTTACTTCTTTACTGTTTTGTGTTTGACCTGAAACCCATAAATCCCCCAAAACTTAAAGAAAGAACTTTCCCTCAGGCAATAAGCGGAAGGTCTACAAAGACACTTACTTAAAGTAATGGTCGAAGAGAAGCTCCTACAAAATACTCAGTAATCCACATACATAATGGTCCCAGGAAAGATCTGCACATAATCTGTCCATCCACTTCGCAAACAGGAAAAGCTGTGAGACATGTAAACACAGCAACAGTAAACCAAACTGCATGTGCTCACTATGCACATTGCTTTAACTATCAGTCCTTCTACACATGTGTACCAACTTGACCGATAATCCTAATTAACCAAGCATTAGCAAGAGTAGAGCCAAGATGCAACTGAAGACTATCACCTCAGACTTAGCCCTTCACACTTAGTGCACTGAGACTGCTGCAGTCTGTTCCAACTCATGTGTTGTTTTGACCAGATGAGTCTGAAGTTTAGAAGTCCAAAAAAAAGTATTAATTTATATTATCAACAGACAACAATGGTAACTCTGCATGTGATCAATTTTACTTTTCAGTAGAAACAATAAGAAACCAAACTGGTCTCTTTTAACATCCAAATGTTAAACTTCTGTGTGTTTTTCATTAAGTTTGTGTCTTGTTTTAAATTTTAGAATCACAATGTCTCAAATTGATCCCCGGTAAAATGCTCCCTTAACTTTCTTATTTTAGGATTGGGTTGATGAAATGGTGTCTTTCCTCTGCTGATGATCATTGTCCTGTTAATAAAACAAGTTTCAAGTCTCAGATAACAGAGGACACCGAGTTCAACAATCTACTTCCCTGCTGTCTCTAAATGTGACAACTTTTTGCTGAAAAATTGTACAGGTTGACAGCACCTCGTTAGTGACATAATGCGTTAAAACATGTTGGGAGGCTGATCACAATTTACAACTTCTTTATTCAGTTTAATATCTTGAATTGGATTCATTAAATATGTTCTAGATAACACAGATTCTATTTTACCTATCAGCTCTGAATTCAGACTGAATTTATTGTTTTACTTCTACGCATCTAGATTAGATTAGAGACTTTGGACCTGTGAACTTTGGTTTTGTAATCATTCACTGTTCCATCATTCCCCGCCCTCTGGTTCAAGTCATTGTCCTGTTTTTTCTTTTTTTTATTCTCCCAGGTGCATTGTTTCTGTCCATTTGTATGGATACTACAGACTTTTTTGTATGCCCTTTGTGTTTAAAACACCATCTATCACCTACATTTTTGAGTGTCTTGGTAAAAATGTTAACTATCTGATAGGAGTATTGTATTTTGATCACAAATAGGTATGCAAACATCCAATCCATGATCATACAATTACTTTTTTACTCTTTTTTAAATGAAAAATGTTTATAAAATTTTTTTTTTCACACATTTAGGTTGCTTTCTCGTTACATTGCTGGGGAAATAGCTATGAAATTGTAGAGTAATCTGTGATTAAATGTACACTTTGCAACCGGTGTTGATTTTCCAGCGAGGCTCCCCCCAGAGGGCGAAAGTAAAAGTGCACTGTCCTAAATATGCACAGCTGTTCTCCTGGTTTCTCCGTCAAGCCAGGCGCGGTTGTTTTGAGCTTAGCAGCGAATGACTAATGCTGCGTTCACACTGGACGTAGCTGGCGCGACAGAAGCAGCGAGTTTACATGCAAAGTCAATGGTTGACGCGCGTCAAGGCGCAGCAAAAGGTCCCGCGGCGCGTTTTGAGCAGCAGGCGCAGCACGTCTGAGCAGCTGAAGCAGCGCGTCGGGCGTCGGGCTAAGCATCTGACGCAGGGAGAGAGACACGGCGCTGATGATCACTCCTCTTAAACAGTTTATTGACGCCTAAATTAACTTAAAATGCAGAAATCTGCCGGCAGAATATGCAGTTTGGATTATTTAGATGAAAAACACCTACCAGCTGGTGAACCGTGAGGAGGCAACCCGGCCAGAGGCTGCTGATGAAGGGATCCCTTCTGTCAGCGCACCGCTGGTATGTGGGGGTCTGAGCGGCTCCGACAGAAATAACATTGGGAGGCAGGATTGTAATCTGGATGAACTGACTGCACTGATTAAGTTTTCAGGTGTATTTTCTCACTTAAACACATATTAAAACTACTTTATTCCCACTGATCACAGCAAATATATCTGCAAGGCAGAGAAAGGATAGTGAAGCTCCGCCCAACGCGCGTCAGACACACTTTTGCACCACGCAGCCAGAGCAGCAAAGCTGCTTCAGCCACGCCTCAGAACTAACTGGTACAAGCAGCAAAAATGAATCAGCAGACGCGATTTTGCTGCTTTTGCTGCGTGAACGTAGCATAACTGCACAAAGATCGCCACTGTGCTAGCAACGAGAATGCTTTTAACTGGGGGCGTGTAGCAGTTCTCGTCGTAAAGCAAGACTGACTCTCATGAGACTTCTGAGCCTGTGGGTGCGGGTCGGTGCTCCTGCAGTTGCAAGTGCAGTATTTCCCCCACAGACCACCAGGGCGGCTGAGAATACCTTTGTTCAACCTGAAATGACTCGTTTAATCATCCATAACGTTATGGAGCACATTAATTAACTGAAAAATGTTGCATAGTGTGCCTTTAAAGAAAATTGATTGAATTTATAAGTTAGATTCAATAAATAGTTACTCATATCCCCAATAAGAGAGAGAGAGAGAGCTATAGGTTTAACTAATCTGCAACAAATTCCCTGTGAAGAGCAAAGGTAATTGACCTAGAATCATGATACCTACCAGCCATTAATGCTCCTGCTGCTTTAAAGACTGTTTACACTGTGGACATGAGTCAACATCACATACATTTCTTTGAAAAAGTCTGCATCGCTGCGTCACAATTTGTGCGTTTATGTGAGTAGTTCTGTTGCTTTGAACTAAATATTGAACTTTACCCTGATGTGTGGTGGATTTAGGTAGATGCCCCAAACTTTAAAATATCATATTTGGTTCTGATGCGACGGTAAAACAAAATCTATTCTGGTCATAATAATGTTGCATATTATTATGTTTTATATTTAGGAGGCGGCGTTGGGGAGAGTGCGCCACTGCGTGTGCGCCTCAGCGCGGGGGCTTAAAGGCTTGTAAGCCTGCCGTGAGCGCAACCCTGCACCCTCACATTGACCCAAACAGGAACCACATCTCCAAATCCAAGCAAATTACACAACCCTTTTTAAAAAAACAAACAAACAAACAAAAAAAGAACAAATCCTACTGGATTATTTCACTCTAACAATGATACAAAGTATTTGGGTGGGATTTGTTTGAAATTAAACTTAGTTGATATTCAAGTCCTTCATCGTGTAGGCCTATAAGGTTTTTGAAAAGTCTGACAAAAAACAAAACAAAGCTAGGCTTACGTCACATTACACCATTTCCTCCTTTGCTAATTAATCCCGAGATAGATGCTTCACTACGCTGATCATCATATGTGGTTAATTAAAAGCAACAGTTGTGCGCACACAGAAAACATTCAGTGCACCGCTTTGAAGACAACATGTAATAAACAATTAAAACCCTGGATTAGTTTTATTAACTTCTCTGGCTAAGAACAAACAAATCACATAAAAAAAAAAACAATATGTAAAAAGATGCTGCAAATCTACCAGAGGGCATATAATAACCCAAAAGAGACTAGATGAATTAAGCGCACATAATAGCTAAGAAAATATAGACAGGAAACTCACCAGCGTCCGTGGGGAAACAGTTATATGTTAGGGGGATAAATGATAAGACATGTCACTGCCTGAAGCGCTGAGATGGTGGACAATCCGCGCGCGTTCTCGGAACCACTGGCTTATTGCGCGCGAGCAGGGCTGCTAATTCCCCGAGCAGTCCACGCAGAGAAGGAAGGAAGGTGTGGGTATATTACTGAGCCTTGCATGTGTGCGAGAACGAAGCGCTTAGAGGTGAACAGACTCTCCCACATCTATCTATCTATCTATCTATCTATCTATCTATCTATCTATCTATCTATCTATCTATCTATCTATCTATCTATCTATCTATCTATCTATCTATCTATCTATCTATCTATCTATCTATCTATCTATCTATCTATCTATCTATCTATCTATCTATCTATCTATCTATCTATCTATCTAATGGAAAAATAAGTATTGTTTTTATATATAAACCAGTAAACAATACTGAAGATCAAGCTGCTCCATTAACAGATACCTTTAGTTTAAGGCCAAATCTCTACCAGGGTTTGCATAAATGCAAACATTTCAGTTTAAGATTCGCAGTAATCTTATACAATTTGAGATCCTCTATCATGGGGATATTTATTTGACCTTTTCTGTATGGAGTTTGCATGCTTTCTTTGGGTGTCTGTCTGGGTCCCACTGATATAAAAACCTTTTGCAGCTACTCTAAAATGTCCTTAGATGTGATGCAGCTATTTTTCTTGTATGCCCCTGTGCTGTCTTGTGATAGACTGACCTGTCCAAAATCTGGTCATGAAATTCAAGTGGAAACAGGAATAGACAGTAGCTGACCGGATAAGGCTATTTAAACATTTAAAAACACTCAATATCAACTTTATTAAACATATTTGCATAAAGAGTGTCCAAAACAAGTACCAACAAATAGTAGAAACTGTATGGTTTGTTTTATTGGTATTTGTGAGGCTGGACGGCTACATTTTGCTCAATTACACACACAAAGCATCTACATTTAGAACATTTGTTTTCTCTTTTAGTTGCAGTGCTTGGACACACAGTCACATACAGCTACAGACATGACGGTGTGGTAGCTGCGTGTGCCATTGGCACACAGGATTGGCACGCTGAGTGGTTCAGTCTTCATGGCAGAGCAACACACACACTCCTGCTCAACAGCAGCGCTCTGCAGGGAGTACATAGATTTGCTGCGACATTTGCCCTGAAAGACAGACAGACAGATAGACAGGGTACATGCATAAGCATCACCAGGCAGACTGAGCAGGTGGGATGGTGAAGAGAAAATGTAACATTAAAGGCCAAACCAAGGGCAGAATGTTAAATCTGTCTCTGCTGTCTCACCTCACAGTAGTACAGCTCAATCGGCTGCTCTGATCGGCAGTCATCCACTTTGATGTAGTCGAGCGTTCCTGCTGTCCTGCGGCACTCTGGCTCAGTACCTGAACACATGCATTTCTTAAAAGTTATTATAATCGTTAACATTTCTTTTCATTACCATTCAGTCTTGAAAAGGAATCACTTACAAGTCTCACAGCAGGTTTTTCCAATCTGACTGACTTTGCCCTGTTAAAGATAACACACAAGAAAAAAAGAGCTAAATATAATTTTATGTTGAGAAATCAGGAGTTATTTTTCTAATTTAGCAAACGAGGCTGTACCCCTTTAGCTATGCAGGCTTGATGGTTAAAAGGAGGGCAGGTGGTAACTTTGGTCTCCAAGACAAGATCCCCTCGGCTGTTCACACCACAAGTATAGACGTAGCAGCCATCCTCAACAGTTGAGTTGACCTGATGAATAGATCACATAATCACTGCATAATTGTTTTGATTTTGCTGTCATGAGGCTATTTGTGTCCTATCTTCTTAGTACCCCGATTACTTTCCTTCTAAACATTCTATTGCGTCTTGTTTCTTTAAGAACGAGGAGCTAGAAGAAAGGAGGTTTGCCGGAGGAGTTAGTGTGCAATGGAAAAAAAGTATTCATCCTCAAACATATTCCTTGGTTCTATACTTGTTTTATAGCTGACTCAGTCGTTTCGGTTTTATTATCAAATAAAAGAAAATTCACAGTAGTTAAAAAGTTGTGGTATGTGTATGATGATTTCCTATATTTGGGACAGAGTCTGCCCAAACCTGTTTTACTTAACCTACAATGGAGGTTTTCGAACATGAATGGCCTATTTAGAAATGCCACAAAATCTCAGTCGGACATAATTCCAGACTTTGACTAAGACACTTTGAAACTTTCTGTGTGCTTTGGATCAATACATTGTCCTGTTGCATGGCACAGAAACACACAGTAACCTAAGATCTGATGGCCAGATATCCACTTCATGGGATCTACCAATTACTAAAAAATTTTGGGACCTGAAACGGCAGATTAGAACCAATTTTATATTTAGAATCAGATTTTAACAAAGCTTGGCTGTTTTAAATGTGTATGTTTTAGACTGTGAAGCGTGTGATCCAATTTAAGATTAATCCTTTAGCTTGTTTTCTGTCCTATTTCATTCCATTGCATTAAAGCAGGAAAAATACCAGGAGGCATTAAGGTCCTCATCGACAAATTCATGCTGCAGAAATCCCAATGATCAACCTTTTATTTAATAATAAAGAAAACATCTAATAGTGCAATAATTTCCATAATGAGCAAATTGTCCAACATAGGATCCAGGAGAGAGCAAGAGCTATGAGTTAGAAAATCATAAAGGTGTGACAAAGACATGAGAAAAATGCCCTCAGTTTAAAATGTACAAAAGAAGGAAATGCATGTACAACACATGGAATTGTTTTCAAAATGGTCTTTTTTTATCGTATACCGTTCATAACAGACACCACCTTCTTCTCTGTATGGTACCTACTTGCACACTGGTGAGTTTCCCATCTGGCTGCTCGGTGAAGCAGGCAGTAGCAACACAGCGACCGCAGCAACTGTCTCCATCCTTCTGCGTTGTGTATCCCTTGCAAAATATAATGGGGATTTTTAATTGTTAGCTGGTACATAGAGAGACATCACAGGGCAAATATGGTGAATGTTTAAAATGAAAGATTTCTAAATTATTTTCTGATTAAGGAACATCATCTGAGTGAAGCATAACCATTTTGAGGACGGCCTCTATTTGATGATGAGCAGAGAGGAAATGTCAGAGCCTAAGAGCTCCTATTATAAAAGCATTGGAGCTTTGAGTTTATTAATAAGTTATAGAGGGGACGGGAAAGAGTGCTGGTCAAGATGGAAAATGATGATGTAACAAGTTACCCTGGGGCATGATGGACAGGTAGTTCTCTTGCAGGATAGTTTGTATTTCTTCACTGCTCCGTCCTGCACTGTGCACTCACAGTGCGTGCACACATCCACCATCATTCTCTCACCTGCCTGCATAAACACACACATACAGTATCTAAAACCAGATAAAAGAAAGCGATATCCACATTTTATTGCTGTGCTGAGCTCAGTGCTACTTTTTGGATGACGTACCCCTATTACAGTGTGATTGAGAACACAGACATCCATCGGCGCTGTGGAGAGAAGAGATCAAATATTTTTTTTATTTCAATTGATTTAATGATCTTTCAAACTCTCTGATCTTGCAAGAAATCTCAGTTACCTGGCTTGGCCTTTAAAAGCCATTTAATGGGTCAAATCAGGACAAGCGTCATAAAGATCTCAGCTATAAAACAGAGACATCTGCTGGACACTTTGTGCAACTACAATTTAATCGGGTAATATGCAATATTGTAATACAGTGTCTGCAAATCACACTACTGGCTGGGCTGAAATTATTTAAAAAGCAACACATTATGCTCCTATAAAATGATTTTAAAGATCCAATAAAAAAATCCATCGCTGTAGAAATGTCAAACTTCCAAAGTACCACAAAGTGAATGGAGGGTCATCATGCAAAATGAAGAAAACAGTAAACAATGATTAACACGCCCACCAAAATCACTCCTAGAATGCATCAATGACCTTTCTAGAAGGTGATAAAGCACTACAGGCTTCATTTGCATCAGTTGAGGTCTGTTTAGTTGATAAGATAGAGTCTAGATAAAAACTGCTGCTATAGAAGAGATGTAAGGCCAAAACCATGCCCATTGAGAAAACAAAACAAAACAAACAAATCAGATTTGCATTTACCAATTATTGGAGAAATATCTTGACAATACTAAGGTAAACATATTTTATTCCAGTCTACAACTATCATGATTTAAAAAACAAGGACATTACAGTCAGTCAAACATGTTTGTCTGATGGTCTGGGGTTTATTGATTACTGTGGGAGCTAGATACTTTGAAATATTTGTTAGAGCCATAAAATCAGGTTTTTCTTAAAAAATCCTAAGGAGATGTCAGGTTATGAATCAGGATTGTTAGCTAAAGCACTTTTGCGGTATGATTCAGGAAAATGATCAAAAGTACAACAGCACGTCTATCTTTCAGTGGCTCAAAAACAAAAAATAAAGGCTCGATAGTGTCTTTGTTAAAGTCTGGACTTAAATCCTGTTAAAAGGCTGTGAAAATACTTTCAACGGTTGGTTTAAGATTTGAGCCTCATCCAGTGTGTTCAAATTAAATAACACTCCAAAGAAGAGTGGGCAACAATGTGTCACCAAAGTAAAGCAACAGACTCATTGACAGTTATCATAATTTCTTGTTGGCCAATGTAGCTAACAAGGTCTGCAAAAGCAGTTTTGGCATTTTAACGTTAAATACTTTAAAACCTAAGATGAAACATGAGACCTTAAGGAGTTTTTAGCCTTTTTCAGACCTCATGAAAGTCTTGTTTACAACAATATATGAGCTTGATGCTTAAGATTTGAGCCTCATCCAGTGTGTTAAATTTAAATAACACTCCAAAGAAGAGATGGCAAAAATGTGTCACCAAATTAAAGCAAAAGACTCATTGCCAGTTATCATAATTTCTTGGTGGCCAATGTAGCTGCCAAGGTTTGCAAAAGCAGTTTTGGCATTTTAACGGGAAATACTTTAAAACCTAAGATGAAACATGAGACCTTAAGGAGTTTTTAGCCTTTTTCAGACCTCATTAATGTCTTGTTTACAACAATGCATGAGCTTGATGCACCTTTTATAGACTGATTAGTGTCAAGTTATGTTTTCCTGCT